TACTGCATCGGTGTGAAAGGCTGCTGTTAGTCCACATTTCTTTTTAACTTCACTAATGTTAGCTTCAATGCAGTAGGTATCGGAACGAAGAAAAGTATTGACGAATGCATATTAGAGGCAGAGCTTTACTAGACATAATGATATTATGATGTCCATCTGTGTGATAACAAAGAAATTATTACTTGAACAGCAGTTGGTTATATTATTTTACATGAAACAATCTACATTTTGCATGAAAATGATTAACAGCGACAAGTGATGGACTAAGGTCGCGATCCGCAAAGCCGTATTCTGACAGAATTAAATGATATTCTATTGCATTTCGTAGAGTTGAGGGGTCTATATTAGACTTGCACAGGCTATTATAAGATGTCCTATTGTTATGTAACATATGTATCCATAAGTTTCTTTGTCTTTACTTTATGTATAAACTGCGAGAGCTTTTAACACATTATTGCGAGATTTCAGCCGAATGCACATCGCTGCGGTATATGCATAAAGTCAACATGTTGCTGAATACTACACCTAGGATTTTAGTTAGTAGTGAGGATCTGGAACTCACCGATATTCTTCGTGATGATTTTTTTTTAATAAATAATGAAATATAAGTTTGCGGACTAAATATTTTCCAGTTAAAAATGGTAACTTGGCAGTTTCCAATAATTATACATATATATATGAATTTTTCAGTTTCCAAAAAAATGGATTTTTTTTTATTATGTAAAAAACTAAAAACCAATTAGGATTATTTATTTAACGCCTTTAGCAAAAAAAAATTTTTAAACACAATCCTATAATTAATACGATCAAAAACTCTACCCAGCTCTGGTGTATAAATTTCTTACATTAAATAAAAAACAAAAAAGTTTAAGTTAATAAAATGTTCCTTTCTTATCACTTGACTTCTCTTTAATATGATGAAATACTCACAGCATAAACATCACATGACTTTAGTTGCCTTATTGACTGTTTTACAATTTGTTTAAACTCCTGAAAGAAAATATATAGCCGTGAGTTTTGGTTCGAAGCAATAAGATTGCAGGTAACACAAATCAGTCTTTGACTTCATGCCCAACAGCAGCGCTACTCTAACATTAGGACAACACCTTGTACGAACTCAAATTTTTTCACTTGTACGTTTGTATTTAAGCACAACACACAAATGTATCGTTATTTGCCTGATTGTACTGTTGTGTGTTGTATGTTGTATGGCTGTCTGTCTCTCTGTCTCTCTGTTTGTTTGTATGTCTGTCTGTCTGTCTGCCTAACTTGCACTGCAAAACCAGTTGCAGGTAGTGTTTAAAATACTCATAGCCTCCAATTCTTTTTAATTTTTTTTTTGCTTTGCTTTGGTTCTTATTTTTGTTTTTGTTTTTGCTTTTTCATTTTGTCTTATACAGTTTTTGTTCTTAAAGGTGCCTGAATGTGGTTCCGTGTTCAATTTATTTTTCAATTTCGTCTCTGACGTCTACTTTTTTTTTTGAACCAAACTCATCCATCCAGCGTTTTCTTTAGCTCGACATGATTTTGTTTTTGTTTTTGTTGTATTTTATTTTCTACCAATTCTTTATTTCTATATTTTTGTTATTTGAGGTAGGCTACCACATTCACATTTTAGCATGTTGGTTGGTAGTAAGCAAAGTGAAGCAGCGAGTACGATTGAAACCTTCTGATTTTAACTGCGTTTCTGCAGCAGCTAACAACAACAGCAGCAGTGGACTGTTTCAATGAGCTGCTGCTGCTGTTGCTGCTATTGCTGCTCCTCTCTAGAGAGTTCTTTATTATTATTTCTTTATTGTTTTTACTTTTTGATTTTGTTCACTAGTTGGTTGCTTAATGTTGGTGCTGTTGTTGTTGTTGTAGCGTTTTTTACGCTTAAAAATTTTTTTTTGGCCCATTGGTATTATATGAAAGTTTGTTTTTTATGCTGATTTCATTTTTTCATTTATTTTTGTTTTTGTTTTTAGTATGTGCGACGACGTTAAACCTAAACCAAAAGCGACGTCTTTTCTCTTTGGCTTAGTTTAACGTCAACAACGTCGTCATCGTCATCGCCGTATTCGTCGTCTTTGGTTCATTGCATTCTTTTTGGTTGGGACTAAATTGTTTGTAGTTTTCCTTAATTTTTTTTTTGTTTTATTTTTTAGAATCTTTTGTACGGCAATATATGCGCATAGGGTTCATTTCGGTTCGATTTGCGATATTCGTGTTCGTTGGTTTCTTTTCAGGCTTCAGGGTTCACTTGCGGCATATTTTTTTTGTTTATATTATATATGTTAAATTATATATGTATGTGTGTAATTTTTTAATATTTTTATTTTATATTGTTATAGTTGATTGCAGTTGAGTAGATTTTAATACGGTACTGCCTCATTTTTTATCACTAAAACTTTATAAATAAATTTTCATTCTCATTTCCAATTTTGTTTTTTATTTCATTTTTTTATTTTTGTTTTATTTCGTTTTTTTTATATTTTTTATTTCGGATTTTTTTTGTGTTTATTAATTTTTTTACATTTTTTCTTACAGTACTTTAGTAGTAAACGTTCGATTGCTTCCGGAAGTGCCGTTTTACACGTGAATAAAAATTATCTTGAATGTTTATGGTAATAAGGAAGCATAAAAAATATTGTAATGCAACACCCTGGATGCGATATGAGAAAATTCGGTAACTACCTGAACTGAAATATCAATACATAGCAAATTTTTCATATTGTTTTTACTTGTGGATTAAATTAATGTGTAAAATATGTTGACAGAATTGATAAAATTATATGTCATATGATGCAGTGAATTATGAATTATTAAAAACTCTAGCGAGTTTTTAGAATAGGTGTATTCGGAATGTGACAAAAAACAGCAAGTCTCTAGCTAAAGTCTCTTGCCAAAATCTCTTGCTGAATTCTGTTAATAAAGTCTTTTGCACAAGTCTTTACTGACATCTTTTGCGCAAGTGTTTTGGTAACAACTCTTGCTTAAGCCTTTTGCTAAAACATCTTGCTTAAGTCATTTGTTAGAGTCCATCGCTCAAGGCTCTCGCTAATGTCTCTTTCAAAAGTCTCTAGCTTAAATCTCTTATTAAAATCTGTTTTGTTTTTTAAGAATGTTAACTTTTATTTCGTGCGTTATTTTTTAGTATAATTCTATACGTATTTCGGCAAATTCGCTTTTGCCTTCATCAGGAGGATTCCTAATATTAGGAGGCAAAAGCGAATTTGCCGAAATACGTATAGAATTATACTAAAAAATAACGCACGAAATAAAAGTTAACATTCTTAAAAAACAAAACAGATTTTAATAAAAATTTCGACGTAACAACTCAAAAAATTAATAACAAAATTATATTAAGTCTCTTGCCAAAATATTATGTTGCAGTTTCCTGCTACAGTCTCATGCTAAAGTCCCTGGGAAAAGATTATTGCTAAAGTGTTTTGCAAGTCTCTTTCTAAATGCTTTTGCTAGACTCTCTTGCTAAAATGTTTTGCTAAAGTGTTTTACTAAAGTCTCTTACTAAAGTCTCTTGTTGACATATGTGATGACAACTTTTACAATCTGTCAAATATTGATGCAATATATATTTTGTCAGGAAAATATACTGGACTTCAAATTACACATTATTGAATAAAAGTAATGCAGACACTAATTTACATTTCATCAGGCAAAGAAAAAAAGACTACTGTAGTAGGTTTGATTTACTTGGGTGTTTAATCCTATTGATTTAAGTCTTATAGCCTAATATCAAGACAAAATTTCATCTAGAAATCATAATCAAAATGAACACATCATAAACGCGAAATATTTGAATGATATTTGTATGATACACATGTAAGTAAGGAAATTCCTTATGAAACGAAAAATTATCCTTCAGATAATGTACTCACTTTAAAGACTATACTTTTGCTAATCATTCAGGCATTTTGCTAACCATTATATACTATCATGCATGAAGTTCTTATAGCATTCAGGACTATTATTATTTTTAAAGACCAAAAAGCACTACAACCTGAATATATCTATTGTGAATATGCAGAACAGATCCAGATTTGTTACTCATGATAAAGTAGTGCTGTTCACAACTTCCTTCGGAGTCTATTCTTGGCTACTTTTCTTTTGTTTGCAAGAAAAGCACATACAACAACAATATAAAAAATGCCATCATAATGAAGTAAGCTTTAGATAGTGGATGAGCTCTATTCCATTTGATTTTTACTGAATTATAGATATAATCATTGAAATTATTTACCGCCCCTTTTATTTTAATAGTTTATAATTTAAGTATTATCAAAACGATTTTTTTTTTTAAATTTTACATCAAGAGACCATAATAATTACCCCTTTTTGTGTACAGAAGGGATAAGAACAAAAATCAAAATAAAGTGAAATTCAGTTGAAAATTAAAATTCACAAATATAAAATTGTACAAACGACTTTTACTATAGGCGAGTACAACCATTACAGCAATAACAACAACAATAAGAAGAACAACAACAACCCCTAAAACCCTTAAAGTGAAAATTATAGAAGGGTAGTATTTTACAATAAAGCGCTGGATAAAAAAGTATGCCAGACTAGAGGATTGAATAAAGGCAATGAACCTTTATGCTTTTTCCTAGGAATATGTAAAAACAGCAGGAATATAGTGAAAACTTCATACTCTATACCATATCCATGTAACGTTACCATTTTCATACAAAAGAAAAGCTAACATAGCAGTTTTCAATATTGTTTTTGTTGTTATTGTTGTTGTATTACTGTAGCCAGCTGTGGGTTAAAGGGAACATTGGCAGGCTTTTTGTCTACTTTTATAGGATTTGTAAGGAGAATGATGGTGTTATAGAACTACATGGTTGCAGTAAGATTTTTACAACTAAAATGGAGCAACAAATACAAAATGTTGCTAAAAATTTATGGTAAATAAATAATGTGATTTACCGTAAATTAAAGTGAATGGAAGACACTTAGGATTAGTTGTCAATGTTTATGATGATATAATAATAATGTATATATAATAGAAAGCTCTCAACTTACCATACGACTCCAAAAGCACCATAGCCGATGGGACGATCTGGTTGCACATCTTGTGGCACTGCTGGCGGTTGATAATATGGTGCAGCAGCGGCCAAAATAGCGCCTTGTGGTGCACCACCGGCAGCTCCACCCTGTACTAATGACATTGAAACGCTCATTGATGTACGCGCGGACGTTGAATTTTTTGATTGACGATTACGATTTGTGGCAGCGGCGTTTACGATTTGCCTCTTGGGGCCACCAACTGCCGCCATTCAACAAAATGCCATAAAATTAAAGATGATACCGTTGAAAAATGTACGGTATTTGAAAATAATATCGATTTTAGCGTGTATGGCAGTTGCAAAATTTAGTATGATTGATTGATTGAATTAAATTACTTTTTTTGTAAATAATATTAGTTAGACGATAAGCACATATATTTCTTAAAATTTGAAAACCGATACACAAATGGCTTATTTTTTTTTTTTTGAATTATTTTTTTTTTTATATTATGTGTGAATATATTTTATACTTTTAAGCAAAAGAAATGCAAAATTATTTATTATATTTAAGCATTTATGAACACACGCGAATTATTTTAAAGATCTGGAAAAAAAATCAAAACAATTAATTAATTTTAAATTTTTATTGGCTGTATAAATGATTTATCTTATATATATCTAAAGTTTTTCTATTTTGATAAATAAAACACAATGAAGTGGTTTCTAACCACTTTTGATAAACTATATAAAAGTTTATTTTTTGCAAATTTGCAGAAGAAAGTAGTGAATAAATATGCTATAAACCCAAGAAATTTAAAATGCGTTTACACTATCGCAATTAACTAAACAAAATCGTGCAGTAAATATAATAAGTTGTGTAATACTTATCATTCAAAATCCATAGGAAATAGTGAATATATATGTTATAAACAAGAAATTTTAAATACGTTTATACTGTCGCAATTAATTAAAAAATATCATGTAATAAATCACATTTTTCATACAAAAATAAGCTTATGAAATTAGATGATTGACATAATATAATATATATGAAGAACTTAATTGTTATTACGACCAATTTTCAATAAGTGTTTTGATTATTATTTTTGGTTATTTGTTTTGATATATGTTTATATTTTTACTTATTAATAGAATTAATATTTGCTAATATTACACGAAATATCTGTAATGCAAATATTTTTTTTTATAAAATTAAATTTTAATTAAAATATAAAAGGATTTGAATAGCAAAGAAAAGACAAGGACAAAAATTAATTTTATTTTATTGATATTTGGCTGACCATACAACGCTGTTTCGAGCATTGCCAAGCACTCATCATCAGTGATCTTAGAAAATAATTGAATTTAATTAGTTTATAGTCCGTATATAACTTGTTTGGCACAAATTAATAAGTGTAATTTTTTATGTTTTTTATAATTTTATGTGTTATCGATCTAACGATCTAATCCGGTAATAATCAAAAAACTTATATATGAAGAATTCTATATATTAAAACATATATATAAATTATATATATTAATATAAAATATATTGTTTAAAAATGTGTAACATAATTAAAATATATACACAACCAACAGAGAATAAATTAAATTTTTTATAGCAAATTTTTCAATGAACGTAGTGAATATATATGAATAAGCCAAAGAAAATTTAATTATGTTTACACTATCCCAATTAACTCAACAAAATCAAATAATAATTAAATTTTTAATATAAAATCTACAGAATGTGCTAATGAAGTTCGATAATTGTAACACAAAATATTATAAGGTGTACTTAAAAAGCCAAAATATATCAAAAATGTAGTATATGTTACTTATTAACAATTTGAGTGTTAAATACAGCAGCTGTTTAACCCAGTTAAATTAAATACAAAACTGACATAGTAAAAAACTAAAAACGAATTTAAAAAATATGGACTTTCACTGATTTTAATACATTTTAATACATAGCATTAGGGAAAACAAAATATATAAAATTTAAACTAGAATTTCCAAAATTTTACATTTTGGTCTCAACAGTGAAAACCTTATGCCGCATTAAGTGGATCTTATTTAAACTTTTCATGCTGAATAAAATCGTCAGCACACCTAATTCGGTTTCGAGAATCCATTTCACACGAAGATTGCATGACAGATGACGTTTGCTGAGTGCTCTACGGAATTAAGGTCACATTAGCGCCTATCATTTAATGACTTTCAGCTATAATACTTGCATTACAGGGTTTTTAAATATTTAATTATCAGTTACTTTTTTAGCAGAAAATTTAGAAGTCGAAATTTTTTGTCATTAAAATTGATTTTACAACCGGCGTTTTATGGAAAAGAAACTAAACCATATCGGGTATGAAACCCAATTTCATAAATTATTCTAAAATAAGGTTTAACTAATTAAAAAAAATAAATAAAATTAATTAACCGGATGTATTATTTTACTGCACATTGATGTAACCGTGTCTTTACGTTGCCTGATCCATAACGGACTGAGTAACTGTCAAACTAGTGTAGACTCACTTACATACCTACAAACTATTATTTACCATATCCATAGTCTAGTCTAGACATTTTGATATCACTGTAATAATAATTTTTGAAATTCATATTTATCTCAAACCTTTTATTGGACCTCTTCCAAACTACTTTCATATATATTAGTGGCTACAATAAACAGGGAGCGTAAGGCAAACATAATAATAAAAAACAGGAAAAGTAAATCATTTTTGTTCCTTAGTGGAAGGGGAAGGAAGAACTATTACAGCATTTCAACTGCGACAGGGCAGGGCACAAAGCCAGCTGTAATTATTGGTTGGAGTAAAACTTATAAAATTACTCAAACAAAATATATACAAATTTTGTGCTGAGCAGTTTTTTTCTTCTTTTTTTGATACGTCTACAGCAATTGATTTGTTTACATTTGGTGTTGCCAACCAAATTAAAAGAATTTTTTGTTTTCACTAATTCATATGTGCATTACATATTCACAATAAATTTAAGTTAAATAAAAACTAAATACTTTCATTTTAAAATTTTTTACACATAATTTAATTAATTTTTTCACTTATTTCTGAATAATTATTTAACTTGTTAGTTGTTAATGAGTTATTTTTACACTTTTCCCAAGAAACAGCTGTTGTACACAAACAAAAAAACACTCAAATTCCACTCAATTTTGCCGCTATCTATGTGTGTTCTCTTTCTAGTAAAACGCAAACGCAGGCACTTGACATTGCTCAAACACGACCAATAAAAAAAAAATACTAATAAAAAATTACAAAAAAGAAACTGAAAACCTAACAGCAAACGCAAGCAGTTAAAATTATTTTCATTAAACAATAAACAATCTATTTAATTATATAAAATTATCACAAAACTCACAAGCAAAATTTTTACAATTTAACCGCATTTATATACTCATAATATATTTGTGTAGTTTCTTGTTGTTGTTGTTTTTGTTTTGTGTAATTAAGCAGCAATTTAAGAAGAAAGGACTGGCTACTTGCTTGGTGCCTTTTGCCTTAGACAAGTTGACGACAATAACAATCAATTTTTTTTTGTTGGAGCACAAATAATTTCCTTAACCGCTGCTCCGTTTCTACTGTATAACAGTAACTAAAGAATTTGTTATTTTTGTATTTGTTATTTCTACTGTTTTACAACATATTGCAAATAATTTAATTTTTTTTTAATAATTATTAATTTTATTGTTGTTGGCAAATTAAAATGTGCAAGCTTAGTCGTTATAGCGCTGTTTACGGCAGCGGCAGTTAAACAATTTCTATTCACAACTCTTCAGAAAAGTTGTACGATTTTTATATAAAGCTGAATTAAAAGTAATGCAAATATTTTTATTTATTTCTATTGTTATATTTTAATCACTTAATCATTTTTTCAATATATTTTTGTGTTATTTACAATTTTTTTTTTGCTGTGAATGCACGTTTTCTTCATAAATGACCGAACACCTTATTCTGCTTTTGTGTTATTTAGCACATTGACTTTGTTTTCTTTCAATTATTTTTTTTTTTTTCTTCTTTTTAATTTGGGTTTCTCACAACATATGCGGTTGAAATTTGTGTTAACGCGAGCCGAATTAATAACTACAAACCAACTCGAGAACAGAAAACAGACTGATTTACTACAATTAAAAATTCGTCCACCGAGTTTGATATATTTTACTTGAGTGTTTTTGCTCATAAGACAAAAGTCACTCTTACACAAAAATTACACAAAGTTCAGGAAACGAGAAAAAGACTTTGTATTGTATATTATCAATTCCCTTCTATCAGTTGTTTTTAGTGTTGTTCAATTTTATAAACAAATTGTTTAAAAATATGTATAGTTTATATATAGTGTTTGTATTTTTTAGTACAACATAATTTATTTACTTGCCGTGTTAGTTGTTCTTTGTGCTGTAGGACTTTGATGAATTTAACTTCTTTAATAGAAAACTTATGGATTCGAAATAACTTCCTTGATTACTAAAATGATATTGTAGCTTTTGTTTATATCCGAGTTGGTGGCTGAAACCTTTGCACAATCCATTACAGAACTGCTTTTATACTTAAGATCTTAAATTCGTTCCATATGTAAAGATTAAAGATTTACATAAGTGAATTACCATTTTTGAAAACAAGAACAGTGTTGGAAAGTGAAAAAATATCATATTTTAAAATGCATTTTATGACTACATAAAATCAAATTTAGAGCGTGGATATATAAACAAACACTTTGTTAAATTAGACAATTAAAAAATGTCGCTATTATAAAAGCTGTAAATAGGTAATAATATTAATTATTATTATAACCAGTATATTATAATAATTACCTTAATTACGATGCACACAAGATTATAAGGAAATAAAAATTATATAATCAAAAACACGTATAATTATATATATGTAGCTTCAAAAGTGTGTTTAATAATTTACAAAAAATAATTCTTTATAAAAATTATTTGTGTTAACAACCCTGCAATGAGTGACTATAGCAGTCATTTTCCAATGTCAGCTGTACTGATGTGTTTAGTGCTGCCAGCCGTTCAGTAGTTTAGTCATATATTAATAATATATAAAAGATTTTTTGCATCACCCCAAAGGCTATGTATTCATTATATCGACATTCATTAATATTAGTTAATTTAATTCACTTGAATGTTTGAGTTATCAAATTCGAAATAGGATTTAACCGGTCGATTATTATTCTGTATAATATAAGTTTTAATAAATTTAATGAATAATGACAAACTTTTAATTTTTAAGCCATTCTATTTTAATGGTTCACCTTTTCTATTCTAAGTGTTATTTGACTCTACTTAACATAAATGAAGGTAATCCTATCATCACATCTCCAGTCACCATTAGTACTGGATTAATTTTTTAAAACGAACCATTAATAAAACCATTTCCCCTTTTATCTCACATATCTTCTTAGGTCTTCAATTATACTAAATATTTATATTAAATATAGTACGACACCCATTTTTGGATAGATGTTTTTCTTAAACCAAAATAGTTTTTCCTTATTATTAATTGGAAGAACTTGACCTGTTTTGGGCGGATAATACAACGTTCAGATAATACAACTATAATTACTCGCTGAATGAGTATTCGTTGAATAAGTATACGCTGAATCAGTATTCGCTGAATAAGTATTCCTTCGTTGAATGAATATTCACTGTATGAGTTCGTTGAATGAGTATTCGCTGAATGAATATTCGCTGAAAAATGATGAGTATTTGGTGACGATAAATGTTTGCGTAAACGAATTATTATGATTGCAGTCATGTCACGGCATCACAACATGCCCTTAAGAGTGTATTTCGTCTATAAAAGGGGGATCCAAGACATGCACTAATTGAAAGTAATCCTTTTATTTTTAATATTTTTGTGTCATTATTTACATAAGTTACAGGATGATTTTTCTAAAAATTAAATACTATAAACAGTAAACTATAAACTTAACTCTGAATGTGACGCAAGTTGATAAAAGAAGGCGAAATTGAATCCGGTTACGATATTTTCACCACTGGAGCATCATAGTTCCGTTCACTGAATGTGACAGAGATCATAAGCTCCTTGACAGCAACTTATTTCTCATTAAAAGATCCCACATCCATTTACAGCTTAAGTATAGTTAATACCTGATTACAACCCAGACCACCCATTGAACCTACTTCACTAAAATTCATCACTGAATCAGCGTTTTCATATATTTTCCTGTGGGTTATCTTATTTATGTAAAAGTTAAAGCATGAATGTCTCAAATTTTATTCTAATAATACGTGGTGCTGCCAAATTAAAGAAAAACTAACTTCTAACAGAATATAATCTAAGCATCTTAATAATTGTATATATTATTATTATATATTGTTCTTCATTTAGCTAGTTCTGCAAGCCGTCAACCGGATAGGGAACATAATATGCTATCTGTGATCGTAATTTCTATCGTAGTGTTAACTCAAAACACAACTATCGAGAACAGATATCAAGATATCGCGAACATGAGCCGACTAGATGCTTTAATGCAAGTTAGGTAGCTTCATATGGTTCAGAAATATGGACAATGACGAATTTTTGAAAGAAAAATAGTTCGCCAAAACTACGGGCCAATCCAAATTGATGCAGAAAGTTTTCAAAGTCGACCAAATAATGAAATTGAAGAACTGCTTACAAACGAAAATATAGTGAGATATATTAAGTCCCAAAAGTTACAATGTAATAAGAATGGGGTCGGAGAGAAAGCCGAACAGCATATTCAACGCAAAGCCGATGACAACCAGGCACAGAGGTAGGCCAAGAACAAGATGGGATGACAACGTGTATGGTGATGCAGAAAGGATTGGAGTACTGAACTGGAAGAGAGTAGCAGAAAATAGGGACAGATGGGGGCAGATCGTGAGGGAGGCCAAGGTTCATACTGGACTGTAGTGCCAAATAAGAAGAGGTGGTTCGCTTTTAAAACTTCACTGTAAATATTAATTATTGTAAACCCATAGGCTAGGCTTCCTAACTATGCACAAAATGAATGAAGTCTACCATCATCGACACTAATGCGATAATCAAAAGGCAAGGCAAGTTTACAAACACTATTACGATGCAATCAGTTTGGATATCAAGCGATAACCTCTACTAAGACAGTTATCTACTAAAAGAAATTATCAAAACTGGAATAAGTTCGGAATAAATGAATTATCAAAAATTAATGGAATTTAAACTGGGTTTCAAAGACATTTCAATCAGAAACCAGTACTTACTGCAAGCATAAAGCATGCAATTTTTTTTCTTCACCAATATACGGATTTTATTTTATTCAACCATTCTTATAAGTTCGTAGCATTTAAGTGACAATTATCTAATCGATCAATATTTATTATATTCACCCCATAAACAAATTAGATAAAACTAAACACTAATACAAATGAAAACACTATGATTTAGTTAGTTTACTTAATTTGATTTTAATCCATTTAATGTTTTACAATATTTGAAGTAAAATTTGTTATATATAATCAATTTAACGTGAAATAGTTTTTGCCAAGCAAATCTATGCATTATCCCCACACATTCAAAGCGAAAAATTTTAATCATTTAAACCCAACCACAGACAACAAAAGCATAATATAAATAATTAAAAATACTAACAAATTTTTAGTTGCGTCTGCAAATAGAAATTTAAATTACGTGGAATGAAGCTTATTGTTGTTGCGTTGAATTGCCATTCCAAGTGGCATTATCGTCATCCGAATCCTTTTGATTGTCCCGTAGGCGGTGAATGTTTGAGCCACCATAGCGACGGAAAGATTGGATTGATTCATTATTACCGGTTGGTGTCACTCCTGCACCACTTCTACCAACACCACTGCTACCAGCACCAACACCACCGTCTGGTGGACTGGAGTTTGATGGCAGAAAAGGGTCCAAATTTCGTCGCTTAATGCTGCAACATGAAAGTGTAAATGAAATTAATTTTTTTAAATGAAATTTATTAAAAAATAATTACGCTGCATCCAAATTGAGACCCTGCTCTTCATTGACACGCTTTTGAGCTCCAAGATTACCAGGATCGTCACGTTTGCTCATATTTCTAAAATAGCTGAAAATCATGAGTGCAGGAGTCAGCATAGCCCAAAATATTGTAACAAAAATATTCATAAGGCCACCCCTACGCGCTATTATAGCTGACGGTCCACCAGTATCCTTGGGAATAACCAATATAACAGCACTGGGAATAAGTTCCAATTCTTCCATGGTCTTAGTGTCAAATTCAGTTGTTAATTCACGTTTAGGATAGTTGGTAGATAGAACGAAAGTTTTAATACCCGTTCCCGGCAACAATTCATTCTTAACATAAGCACGCACTTCGGAAAGTGTAACTGTTCGCTTAAACACCTGATTCTTATTCTCACCATTAGGAATACGGAATTGTATACGTGTAGAGTCAATCCCTACACTGGAGGTTGAAGCAGCTTGCGAAGTGGTAGGTTCAGAAGGAGTTGGTTTGGGTATGTCTGCAGTAAACTTCTGTGCACGTTCTGCACGATCAGCAGCAATTTGTGCGCGAATACGTTCACGTGCAGCTTGTTCTTCCAAACGATCGCGACGTATATTCTCCTAAAGGCAAATAATGTATAGTTAAGTTTTTACTTAATTATTAAAGAGAATAAACCACGTAAAAAAACTTAAACAACATACCTTCATTTCTTTCAACTCCTGATCTCTTTGCCACTCCTGTAAATTTTGCATAACCTTACCCTCCTTCCTGCGACGCAGTTCACGTTCCTTTTCCAAAATGTTTTCTTCTTCAATACGTTTCTTACGCTGTTCCTCCATTGTTTTTCTGGTTTCGGCAAGGCGTGCATTGACATCAGTTAAAATAGCTTCGTCATTATTTGAAGTCGTTGGATCATCTTGACTTGGTGTGTTTCCTGCTGCTTCCCGTTCATCCGTTTTCTCTTTCAATTTCTTGTAGCAAACATCACCATCACATATTATTTCATATTCTTTATCACCTTCTGCAGATTTAGTTGACTTTGTCTTAACCATATTTTCTTCATTTACAACACAAGCCGCTCCACTAACATCGGTACATTCAGTTATCTCCGCTGCAGTTGAGACATTTTCAGGTATAACCGGTTCTTCTACAACATGCTCTAGAATATCTTCAACACTATTCTTTGTCACCAAGTCTTTAGCTGCCGTGTTAGATGCTGCAGGAATGCTTGCCTCAATATGTGCTTGTTCGGCCTCAATCAGTGAAGTCGATGCAGAAGTTACTTTCCCAGAAATTTGCAAAACATTAATAATCTTATCATCCAACTCATTTACGGACGAAATAATGCCAGTGCCGATATCCAATGGTGTACCAGTTTGACCAATAAAAAATAATGATGGTATAGGAACAACTTTGTCTATATTGTATTATATAAGACAAATTTCAAAAGTTTATAGAAATAATAATTATTTAACAAGCCTTGTTTACTTACACACGGAAGCGAACTGCATATACTCTTGAGTTTCGCTCTCTATTTTGATAGCAATGAAATTATCAGTTTCCAACTTGCCGCGAATTTTTTCATCATTTAAGAATTCTGTAATTCTTTGCGAAGCCTCATCTTTACCTAAAAACGAAATTCAATATTTTTATTGTAAAATATATTTTAAATATACGTGGCCTGTTAGTTTTGCATGTTTTCATGTTTAATTTCATCACCTACCTTCAACGTAAACGACGAAAATTGCATTTTTGGTCTTGGATTTCTGGATCGCCTCCGGTATGCTTCCTTGGTACCAATTCATATTAAGACAATATTATAAGCGTCTTAATATGTTTTTGTAAGACTACTAACTAAAAATTTAACTATTTGAAGGGATACAAGTTTAACCAAATTAAATGGAAACTTCACTTATATTTTAGTTTTCATTATTTGACAGCTGACTAAAAACATTGAAAGAAATAAGGAAATTAAACAGAGTTGTATTTGAAAAATATGTAGGTTACTGCCACTTAAAAAAAAACACACATAAAAAACATAGAAAACGAAGTTGAATGCAATAGTAGTACATTCGCACTGTCTCATATAGGCACTTGTTAATTTCTATTAATTAGGAAACGTTCACATTATAATAAGCTTATTTCTGCAGCTGATAAAAGTTTATAAACTCGAACTCGCATATGGACTTAATAATATATTACATAAAAAAATTAAATAGAAAATTGATAAATTAAATCATATATATACATTTTATCGGACCTATTCTGTGCACTTTATAAAATTGTCAAACATTGACACTTGTCAAAATTGACTGCTGTAAAGGTTTTGGTATTCTGTGACATAAATAAAAAGCTCTTTTTTTAACTAAAATATACGCTCCTTACAAGCATTTTTTTTATTGTGATTTGAATACATGAAAAATGCTTTCGACAATTTAAAATATATGCTCTTTTTTACGAACAGTTACGAACAATTACGAACAATTTTATATACAAAACACTTTACACCATAGTGTGGTGAGAAGCATTAGGTACTTGAGCTTTGAAATTTGTCAAAATATGTCCAGAATACCAAAACGCTTTTTGCTTTATAAAAATCAAAAATTTTATTAAAGAATTCAAATCTGTCAAGTGCACAGAATAGGTCCGTATATATCAATTACATTTACATTTAATTAAGAAAAACAAAGATTTTATAAAAATTTACTTCCTCAGTGCCTTTGTTTACAGCTCAGCTGTTGTTTGTTTATATTTTACAAATTTTTGTTTATATTTTACAAATGAAGTATATGACAAATATTTCAACTTTTGTTAATTTCGACAATTTTCGCCTTAAATAAGCTGTTTTATTGATAATAAGCTTATTTATATGAAAGATGTTTGTATAGTAAATCATCATCATTAGTGGTTATAGTGTGCAAAACGGCTTAAATGAGACAATGTGAATGTGCTATTATATCGAGTTATATTAGGCCTTTTCTTTTGTAAGCATATTACAAAAGAACTGCCTATTTTAAATATAACATATGAAACAACAACACCGCCGGCTTATATAATCCAATCTTTTTGAAACCGCTTAACTAATAAGCAGCTCAAATCGCATGGTTGTCAACACTAAAAATTCGTCCATTGTGAACGTTTTTTGGAAGTACACACAAAATTTCCAGTTAACTGTCAACGAATGATTTCGGAAATTATTCGTATTTCGTGTCGTCATTGTTCCTAAAAAATACGTTATTTTTTCTATTTATTATTTTACTGCAAAAGGCATGAAAAATTATATTATTCACAATCATGAAAAAAAAAATATTGTCAGCAATAATTACAAAGAATTATTATTCATTTTCGAAATTTCAACTTTGTGATAACTCCAATGTTTGATTTTGGAGACATACTCTCCACTGGTACAGATAAACAGATAGTTTGACGTGAGTCAAATTCGTTCCGTCAAGACTATATAGCAATAAGAGTAATAGGTGTGAAGTGTAATTAACTCTTTCATTTAGTGCCTGGGGAGTTGAGGAAGGGAAGAGACAATTACTAAAGTCAATAAACAATAAATTAATACAGATTAAGACGGGTGTTTTAAAAAATTGTCTTTGTGAAGAAGTAGATTGCATATGTAGGACTAAATATTATTATTATTCTTGAAAGGGTACTTGCTATTAGACTCTTTAGCAACTAAAATAGAATTACTTTGTTGACATCAAAATCGTTCTATCCTCCAATCCAACCCTTTTTCTTCTCCCCCTACTTTCAACAATCATCCTTCCATATCCTAATCCACAACAACAACAAGATTTTGTTCAAAGAATTACTTATGGAGAGTGATTTCAACAGCATTACATGACATTAAATTAAAAAACGGAATCCTGGAATAGCTCATGACTCTTTGGTTCCAAGAACTGCCGAGTCTACATTCCGGAGTCATTCGTTGAGTTCGGCTCCTACTCGTTGAGTTCAGTATTCCTAAAAAGAGCTATACAGCCAGACAACAACAACAATGGAGTCTTAATAAGAATTGCAACCATTATCGATGTTATTTTATAGGCTGATCGACAATGATATATTAATAACAAAAAGATCGCACATTTTGAGTAAATAACTATAAATACTGTGTGAAAACACAGTCTTACGAATTGCAACCGGCTGCCATCGTATGTCGCATGTTGACCATCTTCATGCGGAATCGAAGTTTCTTCTTGTAAAAGAACACAACCAACTGCTGTCCAAGCAATTTCTACTCGCGTGCCACACAGATGGACATCCCAACGGCGATCCAACCTTTAATAATCATATCGACCAATATTGCAATGGAGCTAACATCAGTGAGATCGAGTACAAACGTGGACTAAAAGCACTCCACACCAATGCAATATCTTCTTCGAGACCTAGGTTGACTCCCAACAAGGTCCTCAATAGGCCTCCGCCTAACATTTTCCAGGATGAACGTAGTCTTCCTCGTGCAGCAAGAACTGTCCTTGCTCAATTGAGATCAGGATATAGCCATGTGCTGAACAGTTACTTGTCACGTATAAACACGTCCATTCCTAATGTGTGCCCAAATTGCAGCTCCATCCCCCCCGATGTCCCCATCTGTTTTCGTGTCCCAATGCAGACACTAATTTAAGTCCTATCGACCGTTGGACTCGTCCCTTGAGGTAGCTAGGTTTCATCGGCCGAGTCCTGGTTAGTTTCAAATTATACCACCCCTTCCTTTATCCTCTTCACCATATCCCCCTCTATCCACTCCCTTACCCATGTATTCGTATTGTAATCCTTACATGTTATCTGCTTTCAGATCCCAGTGGGTTACAACAACAATAACAATATAAATACTATAAAACATTTTCAATAATAATTTTTATTCCATACAATATGTTCTATCGATTATAATAGCTAATTTTTTTATGTATTCTCTGATTCATTAATCACATTCACAGAGTTCGATTAAAAAACATAACAGAAGTATAAAATGACGTCTGATTCTTATCAGAAGGGGGCGGCATGCTATCTCTAATTAGATTAGCAATTGGGGGAATTGATGACAATATTCACAACACATTTTAATGATTTATTTTGATATTTGACAGATTGAGACATTTAAAACAATTTATTAAATAATAAATTATAACAACCTTAATTCATCACTGCTAATATCGCCGGAATACATACAACACCAAAGCACCTTTCCAGAATTAAAACTACTTGCTTTTATGTTAAATGGCCACTGATGGCACTAAAGTTTATTACAGAATTACGTATGTTACACAAATTTGCTTATATCGCTATTAAGGACATTAGTTTATATTTTTAAATGTAAAAGTGATATTTATGCACTTATTTTGCTTATGTTTTTCCATTACTAAACAGTACAAATAGTGCAATTAACAAAAGGATATTTTTAACCTCATTTTTATTTAATAAAGCTTCACACCACCAATTTTGTACATTTTTTTTCAGGGCAGTAAAAATGACTTAAATTTTAATGTAAAATTCCATATATGGTGTGGCTGTTCCTATATGTTGGCTGGTGCCGTATCTGAAAGAAGCGTCACTTAATTATTTACAAAAATTGTTGAAGTAGCCAATATTTACCCTCTCTGACTGAGCTTATATTGCTTATTGTTGATAATGCTGGCGATATACTATTAATATAGATTTTTGGTACTCTAACACGCAAACGTTTAATCTTGTAACCGCTGTGCTTCGACAATGACAGATTCAGCAAGTACTCACTATTAATTTTCTTGAGACGAACTGCGCATTTACGGATCCGTAAATCAGTTATAATATCCTGAATTTGATCCAATTGTTCGTTGACGTAAGACATCCGATCCAATTTAACAGTCAACTTCCTCATTTTTCTTGGAAGTGGTTTATCAACTTACAAAAATAGCGTTTTCCTTTCAAATTCCTTTAGCCCTTCTTTCGTTGTGTTTTGTGACGCCAAACTGTTTTTTACTGAAGTTGATAAAGTTGATTATATGAAAACGCTGAAGTTGTCAAAAAATTTTCGCGACAGGGTTGCATTTTACTCAAAATTATTCTAAATATTTATATATGTTAAACAATCACATATAATAGGTTTGTTCCACTAACTACTCGTAGTAAAACTCGAGTAAAGTAAAAACTAAGAGCATAACACAAATACAATACCAGTGTATGCAATGTTTAGACACACCCTTATTTCGCAAAAATTTTAATTTCATTTCAGCGAAATTAAGGCTTAAGGTAAGAACGAGATCAAAGAAAGTGGCGTTGAAACGAAAGCTGAAATTAAAGAACATTTCAAATGCAATTATGCGTAGGATAAATTTTAAGCAAAAGATAATGTTGAGATAACGAAAAAGTGACATTTTTTTATATAAATGTCAATGACAGTTGATTTTAATAGAACCGATAAAATATTTTGAAAGCAGTGCAAATTTTTAAATTTGAATAAAGAAAAAAAAACTTACTGTTATTAATTTAAAATCGAGTGAAAAATAATAATTCACATAGTTGAAATCCACTAAAGCAAATAAAACTACTGAATGCCATCGTTTATAGTTATAATAATCTACTTTTAAAATTTCCCAGATACAAATGGTGTTTGGAGCATATACTTTTTAACATTCGATTTGTACCCAAAATCATACAATTTCCTTAATTTGAGACAGTATGAACATTTTCGAAATTAACTTAATTTCATTTTTACCAAATTAAGGAAATTTGGCTCTCTGAACATTGTATTGCGCTCTTTGTACAAGTTTTCATGGAACAGCCTTCCGAATTTGAAAAATAAGAGTAAAGTTTCACAATAATAAGTGCAAATATTTTTAAATGCTTTCTGTTTTAAAAAAGTGAGTTAGAATTCCGTTTACAGATAGAGTTAGAACGCCTTAGGACTCATAAAATTTTATTTTATATTATTTTTACAGACATAATGAAGGAAAGAAAAATTTTTGTGCCATATTCACCAACAACTTTTCTGCAATTACAAAACAATAAAAAATTGTGTTTACACATTATAAATCGCAATTATTTAATATATTTTCTAATATATGATGAATTTGTGAATGAAATATCGCAACGGTTTGTTGCTTAAGAGGGGAATTTTATAATAAAAGAATTAAAAAGACTGCGAGGTTTGAAATGACTTTTGATAACCTTTTTCTCTTATATCGAAACAACATGATATGTAATTTTATAGTTTCTTTTTTCCTTTATATAATCATAAATTAACCAATTCTAAATTATCATCAGAGTCACTATCTCGAAATATATTATTTATTTTTTATTCTGGCTGTGTTGTAAAACTTAGTTTACTTAACAAAATACTTGTTTTTATCCATTTCACTATTTATTTTTAATAGTTAGTACAATTAAAGTTTCAGAATTTTTTTACTTTCACCAGTTCCCCGCAAATAAACAATTCGAAAATTTAAATTCAAACCAAAACAGCTGATTCACACATAAATAAAAATTTTGTTTGAAATAAAATAGGCCTGTTCCACAACCTACTCATAGTAACTTTAAGTAACACTGTGTATACACAAATACGTTTAGCAAATTTTCGAGTAAATGAGAGCATCTGAGAGACCGTAACATATCTGTCGATATTTGAAAATGCTACACTGACTTTAATTAATATTTCTGAATTTTAATAATATATGATATAGCTTCACTTCTTTGTTTCAACGTTCACTGTGCAAATAATCATATTATCGGCACACATTTGCAGCACTTTAATTGCAACTTTCAATAGAAGTGTAAGAATTGAAAGTATTGGAAAAATAACAAATACAGTGATTGGCAATTATTTGATATGGCTACAAGCATTTTAAGTTGGTTTAAAAAAATCGCTGACTGACACCCGATAATTATAGTAATCACAATCCACATATAGTATTATATCAAACAATGCACATAATCAAAACCGTTGGCAAATATCACAAAAATTTAAATAGAATATTAGATCACATTTAATGTAATTGAATTACATAATATTTGTAATGTAACAATTTATTATCTTATATTAAATTCAATTTATAAAAACCAGTCATTCATATATTCCGAACACAGTGCGGAGTATCAACTTGCGTTGTCCTACGCTGAACACACCGTAAAGGTAACAATAGTCTGTCATTGTATGTGATAGGTGCTGTTTGGTCACAAATTGTTTTAATTTAGGATTATAACCGAATATTTTAACGTAATTTTTATTAAATATTAAAGTGCAAAAAAATTGAACAACATGTCTAATGCTGAAACATTAATTACATTGATAGATATGGGGTTTTCAAAGGACAAAGCGTAAGTAGATTTAGCGACAAGTGAGGGAAAGTACCGGTTGCATTTAAGTATATATAAAATTTTAAACTATTTCATATACAGTGAGTACGCTATTAAAGTCACAAATAATCAAAGCGTCGAGGCTGCAATGGAATGGCTGTTGGCGCATGGTGACGAAGAGCTACCAAAGTCAACAAATGTTCAAGAAGAACAACCGGGCACAAGTACAGGTGAGACAGCCAGTGCGCCTTCAACTAGTACACCAGCTCCAACTGCTAAGTCACTAAAATGTGATGACTGCGGTAAACTATGTAAAGACCAATCTGAACTTGAATTTCATGCTGCGAAAACTGGGCACAGCAATTTCTCGGAGTCCACCGAAGAAAAGAAGCCATTAACTCAAGAAGAGAAAGATGCACAACTGGTAATACTTGAGCAAAGACTTAAAGAAAAACGACGTGAGCGACAAGATCGAGAGGTGGCAGATGCATTAGAACGAGAAAAAAATCGCATCAAATCTGGTAAAGAAATGGCTGAAGCGCGCAGACGCATGGAAGAAATGGAAATGAAAAAAATTGTTGATCAACGTAAACGCGATAAGGCTGAAGAAAAAGCCGCACGTGATCGTGTGCGCGCACAAATTGAAGCTGACAAAGCAGCGCGTAAAGCAAGGTTTGTTGTTTATAATTAAAAAATTTTTATAATTTTAAAACTAAAAAAATTAATGATTAGAGACGAGAAACAACCTGAACTTCCTAAAGTTTCATCAACCACCAATGCTACAACTACTGCTAAAACTCCAACCAAAGAATACAGTCAAACACGAATACAGATACGTTTGCAAGATGGTTCTACACTTACCGAGACTTTTAATGTTAAAGAGCAATTGTCAGCGGTTCGTGTATTTATACAGATGAAAACGAATATCGAAGATGCTTTTGGTTTAATGACTACATTTCCCCGAAAAGTCTTCAACTCTGAGGATTTTGAGAAGCCATTAGATGTATTGGGTTTAGTGCCATCGGCAGTACTTACCATGACCAAAGCAATCTAATATCAAATCCGCAACAAACGATATTATAACTTACTATGTCTTTATATAGTATATAAACCACACGTTCTTCGGTTAAATTTTTGCTGTAATTTGTAACTATGTATTTTTTTAAAGGGAAGTATAACTATTAAAATTATCTGTAACATGTAATTTAGTGATTTTAAATTGAATTGAATTGACGTTTAAATTTCTTTGCCTACTGAAGTTTGTATGCTGCGTTAACTACTGTGTAAAAATATATACTAATGTTTTTTTTCCTCTTTGCAGTTCTGTATTACTGCAAACGAGTTTTTTTTACATACATATATTAAAATATATGTTTTTTGTTTGACGCCAAAAATTTATTATGCTCGTAAGACAGTCATAATAAATGTTGAAATAAACATATTTAATTCAACTTATTTAAACATAAAATTCAAGTAGAAATAGGTACAGTCTTCACAAAGAACTACAGTGAACAGAACGTGTGAACTTATATAAGATTAGGTACTACATACCTAGAGGAGTCTATTACACTTAATGTATGAACTTTTAAGAAATTACATTAGTTATTGTTTGTCGTTATCGCAAATGTATTGTGTCATCCCTACAGATTCAACGGAGTCTATGCTTCGTCTCAATATTGGTAGTCCCTTTGTACTTCTTTATATACATCGAATTAATACTGCCACTTCTTATGTTGGTTTCTTGCGTCTATAATATACAAAAGTAATTCTTTATAATTGTGAAGTGCAGACAATAATAATTTTGACTATACAACATATAGAATAGACAACATATCGGTAAATAGACTATTTGGACGAAAGGTTGCACAGAAGATGTTTCAGGTCTTAGTGCATGCACAGCCTATCTATAATAATAATAGTTGTTAATAAAATTTTAGATGTAATAAATCCATTGATTAATCTTATTAAATCAGTGAATAAGTAGTTACAGATAAATTGTATTGAAAAATTTTTGTAAAGTCCATGTTGGATGGGATATTTTGTCATCTGAAAGTGCAAATGACTTTAGAAGGTAGACACGGTTCTCTCTGGAAACAGTTCTATACATATAAAACAGTGTAACGGTACTTTCTCCTCGGAACAAAGTATCGAATGACTTTATGAGGTAGAGATGGCCCTTCGTAAAATTGTTTTATTCCCATGTTCGAACACATCTACAAATTTTATGGCTCTATTTTAAAGAAGTGGTAAGATTCTTTTTTATGTACCCGGGCAAGAGAGAGAGAGGGAGAAGGTAATGAGATTCGACATTATCACCTAACGTTGGTGCTATAACCGACTATAAGAGAATAGAAGAGGTTTCCGTCACATAATTTTCCTCATGATTTGAATACAATAATCCGAAAGTTTGAAAGGATCTATGAGTAAAGGATCTTTCGCTTCTAGGTGACTAATTATTGCCTATAAAAAAAAATTAAAATGCCGATGATCTTTTCATAACTTAAAGTTATGAAGTTAACTTACAACTTCTACTTTGTGATATCTGTATTTGGAGGTACTCACAGCTCATGTCATAGTCTCTAAATCCTAATATTATCTACAACATAAATATAGATTGTAGGTATAGGGTATAATCCATCAGCTGGAGCTAATGTCAAGCTTTCTACGAGATCTACTCTGCTACTGCTGGAAATAGTCTTCTAGAGAAATCTAGATAGCTTATGGTTATGGATACATTACACAATGACTCTTAATTTAACACATCTCATTTGGTGCACTGAAGGTCGTATAAATGAACGCGGTATGTTTCCTGGTAATCGTAGGGCAAACCTCTTATCCTGCAATTCAGTGAGTTTTCTGTGAATTTCGGTGAGTTTCCTTTAATCCCATTTTTGGAAGTTGGTGACTACCACAAGCATACTTAGTTGTAAAAGTATTGCTTAGTCTGAGATTTTATCTTATTAGAGAAAGAAATTTGTCAGATACTATGGTATATTTAAATATTGTTTAATTATATAAAAACACAACAAATTAGTTTGATAAAATCAGCGAAATTTAATATAAACAAAAAAATTTATATATAATTTTGATATTAGTTGATTTTAGTTTTTTTTTTACAATTTATTTCATAAAACATTCCATGATAATTTTTAATAATTATTTCGTGCTAAAAATCTAGTGCAGATTAGCTTGATAAAATCTTCATAAAATTATTACGTTCACATATTTCTGTGTATACTCGTATATGTCGTATATATCTATTATTGACCTATGATAAAAGCTTAAAAAACTACAGAAACTATAAATTTTTATAACTATATTACGTTTTGAACCTAATTTCATTCTTTTCGTTTGCAAAGTTTGTCGTTTATACTTGATTACTTACTTCCCTCATTCTGCCTGCATTAGATTTATTAGAAAAATATTATTATTTATTATTTAAATTGCTCTCAAACAATTCCTTTATAAAAATTAATTGTGATTATGTGTGTTTTAAAAAAATTGCATTACATTCCTTAAAAAATAATTAAAATTTAGTTTTCACTCAAATGCTTTCCGGAATCCTGGCATTTTTTACATTAAAATAATTTTCAATCTAATAGATATTATGCCTCATCATTTACGATCACTTTTCAATCCATATTCCCTCTAAGAGAATTTCGTTTAAATATTTTTATTTATAAAATCGCCCTAATATTCTTCTTGATATAAACTTTTAGTTTTAGTTTTAGTTTTAGCTTAAAGTGTAAACCACATGATGAACTGTAATAGCTTATACATATTCACCACTGGGAACTTCCATTTTTCAGCTTGTTTGCGTTCCAATGGTGGCACAATACTTGGATAATTGACTGGTTTTGATATATGACAATTTGTTATCACTGTGCCACCAGGATAATCAATAGATACTGCATCGCCAGGTATAACGCCATCACAATCGACTAAATCCATACTTTTATTAAAACAAATTCGGATTTCATCCAAATAACTTATATCTCGCTTATTATCGTAAATACAGTGTATAGTTGGGTTACGACCTAATCCCTTAATCAATGCAGTTTGCAAAGCTACAACGGTATTATTTGAATCGGGATGTATGCCTGAATCAGCTAGTATATTTGATATCAAGTACTCGTCTCTCCAATTCAAACCTTGTGAAAAATACTTAAGTTCATTATTCAGTTTCTCCAATAGTGCAGCACAGGTGCCATGCTTTAACCACTCGTGCTTCCACAAATAATCAGCATCACTGTCATCATGTATAGTTGGCCAAAATGTTTCGAGTTGTGCTTCAATTTTCTCCAATTGATCCAAATCGAAATCAGCACTTTTATTACAAAAACTCGGTCCTATTTGTCCCAGCTTTGTCGGCCATATGCCATGTATAGTCCAGAATTCTTTATTATCTGGCAATTTGCATTCATGCGATTTATCTTCCTCTCTCCAATGATAACATGTAGTCACTGGCCACTGTTGTGTGAAAATTAGAACATCCCATTCGTTATCTGCGGATTCCATACTCTTAGAACCCTTTACGTCTAAATCGAAATCAATATCATCTTCGTATTCCGGTAAGAAAAACTCATCTGAATCAAATTGACTTTTACTTTTAGTTTCTGATTCCTCACTGCTGTCGATTTTTTCTGGAATCGCTGAACTGAAAAAGGAAATAATATTCGAAATTAAAAATTTATTGTAAATAAGGATGTATATAATATATATAAATTGAAATTTGTAGTAAATTTAGTTTTTTTAAATCCTCTTTTTCTTGTTGTTAAATACTATATATATAATATATATTTTTATATTACTTATATAAATATATATATTCCTATATTATATATGTAAATATATATATTTTTTTATTTTTATAGATATAAAATAGAAATAATTCAATAAAAGAAATCTATTCAGAGAGTTTTAAATCTGCCTGTAAAAAAATATATCAAGTTAAGCAAATTGATATATTTTCCAATAGGTCATTGTTTTAGTTGTAGTAGCTCTCAAAAAAGTTATCAGTGTATAGTGTTCTGTCCCTTATTGCATTATTGAACATTTATTTGTAGTCGTATACTAGATTGATTATGAAGTAGGTATACTCATTTATATGACTTTCGTAAGATGTTTTTACTTCAAAGAAAGTCCTAAAAATATAGATGAACGATAGGCTGTCATTGTAGTTGGCAAAAAGTAGTTGCTTTTTATAAGGTAACAGTAGGACTAAATTAATATATTTTTTTATAGGATAACTTAAATTGGGATTAAAGCATATTAGTGGGTTCTCCTTTCATGTCATAGAAAGTTGCTATTCTATTATAATAATAAATCTAATATTATATATTCTATTATATATAATCTATTATAATATAATAATCTATACATTTTAATAAATAAAATAAAATATCTCTATTAATTATAATATATAATCTATTAAAATTATTCCATTTTTATTTAAAAATAGGTAATTGTAAAAGTAAAATTATTTAAACCAAAAGTGTTATTTTATAAATATTAGGAAATCAGAAATAATTTACTAAATAATGAGAAAAGTAAGACTATTTTCAAGTTTAATAATAATTTCTCTTACTGCAAGTTCTTACAAATGTGAGGTAATATTAGATACTAGTTTATTTGAGTCTCATATTTTACAAATTAATTTGTGGAGTATTAGGATCTAAACAGGTACTGGAATTCTCTAAAAGATCTTCGTATTATATTTTGGTTAAGAATTCTCCTTTTTTTTTTTTGAAATATTTTACTATTTGTTCGTTTAGGTATTTTAAAATTATAAATCGATAATAATTTTATAATTTTTTTAGATTATAATAATTTGTATAGCACATGTTCTTGCTGATTATAAAATATGGAAACATTTTTTGATTTATTAGAAAAAATTTCAATTAATTTTCACGTACGTTTTCTTCTTCATCTTGTAGAGGCACGTTCGATCGCGAAACACTGATTTCTTCAGAATTATTTTCAATGTTTTATATATAATTATTATCGAAATTATATGTGTATGGAGTTTGAATTCAATGTAATATATAAAATATTAACATGAAAGGATATATAAGACGAATACATGGGTTAGGTTATAGGGAATATGGACCAAGGTAATGTTTATAATGCTCAGTACTACAAACTTGTTTACCGATGATTTAACCACCAACCATCATTAACTCTCGCTTTAACCTCTCAATAGCATCAAAATATCATTGTTTACTGAAATCTGGTTAACTAACTAAATCTGAAGTGAGTATAAATAATATAATATATATCATATAAACATTTATAGCTATTTGCTTTATAAATCACTTTGTAGTATGAACTTTTATCTTGAAAAAGTAAAGAAGAGTATGAATTTAAGGCTTAGTGTTTGAATTTGAAAAATTTACAACCTTATCTAAAATTGTAACCACTGACCCACTACTGTTATTTACGTTTGTGATCATAAACAGTCATATGAACCCGTTAAAGACAATCAAGAGAGTGTTGAGTAACATTTGATCACCATAAATGAATGGTTTTAGTATGCAGACTCAATCATTCACGAATTTACGGATTAATAATATCATTTGAGTATTCTATTTTATACCCTTTACTTTACTCTTTTCTTTCCCTATATTACTTTCTCCATTGTGCAGAGTCTTATCAATCTTTTATGTATTTTGGCATTTGACTACAACAATAACCTTTTGACTTTGATTGAACTCAAGTGATAGTAGGATCCATATGAACATAATGACTTAAAGGCAGTGAATAGAAGATATAGAATTAAAAGGTACTTTTAAATTCTCTTTTTTTTTTTGACTTTAATCAAACTCTTCATCTTCTCATTTATTTAGGATTGAATGATATTAACCCAGCAGTTAAATTCTACGATGCAGACATATCATTTCATTACAAATTTATTTTAGCTCTTATTAGTAGAGCATTAAGTCTAATTAAACCGTACAGTTGTTAGAATAGAGCATTCGAACTATTTTAGTAGAATAGAACTAATAATAACAAATATTAAGTATTGTGAGTTGTTAGAATAATTCCATAATACATTTTTATTAAGATCAATAAAAATGGATTATATTGATCTGAATGTAATAGGTATTTCAAAATAACATGATATGTTACTCTGTGCTTCAAATTTGGCAGTGTAGAAGTTCAACCGTTGGCACTTGCAGTCTCAAAAAATTATTGACGAAAATTTGATTATAAGAAATAATTCCAAGACCACTGATGATGGATATTTTGCAATACTCGAAACTGTTGTATGGTCAGCCAAGAATTCTATTAATAAAAATAATATTAAAAGAATTTCTTTTGTTGTATTTAACTACTTTCGAAACCCCTCTATTAATGACATGTTATCGTACACTACACTGTTTTGTTCGGTGGAACTTGCATAATATTATATTAGGCTTTATTGTACATTTTCGAGAATCCCCAGACTGTAGCATAGTAACAGTCAGCAAAATTATTCATTATATTTATAATAATACATTTCATTTTACTTTACATTTCGAAATATTTAAATGTACACATATTATTAGAGATAAGACATTACTGTTTTCATTACGAAGTAATGCAAAAGATAGTTAATGCGCAAAATTGTTATCAACCGTAAAATTGATAATGCTTTCAATAATATATATAATAAAATGTGTTATTGCACTAATATTAGAAATATATAATATGGATTTTAAATTTTAATTTTATATTAAATACAGTCATTATAGTTTTATTATAAGTAATTAACTTAGTGAATAGTAGTGCATTACATAAAAACTGTAGTAAGATATTCCTATTATTATTAAATATATGTATATTATTATATTAAATTGTAATAAGATGTCTTTAGTATTATTGCTGTAGCGTGGAAGTCGACCTGTACCATTCTGGTTACACATTTAAAAATTTGATTAATTTGTAATGCACCATAGCATTAATTACTTCAATGGACGTGGGTGTAAGCACAATTTCTTGCTGGGTCATTTATCTAATATAATTAAAATTATTTCTTTTTTGTTTTTTTGTAAATTTACAAAGAAACAAATTTATTTAAAATTGTAAAATTGTTTTGCTATTGTTAGTTAGAAAACAAGTATATTCTCACATGTTCTGACTGATAAAGTAAATTTTGCATTTCGTATCACAAAAACAAAGGCAAGACAAAGTACGTCAGCAAGTAATATATATATTATTATTACGATTTTTTTATATAAGTATTAGAAAACATTGAACTAAAAATATTATTAAACAAAAACAAAGAAATAAATATATATACATATACATATATTTAGATATTTCAAACACCAAGAGTTTTTGATTAAAATCATATTGTGTATCAGATATATATTTAAGCTTGATATAAAATAATTAACGTGAGCAATTTACTCAAGAAAGGCGTATAGGAGTACTCAGTTATTTCGTCTTTACTACCAAATATATTGAAAACGATACTCACCGATAATGAAATTTTACCTTTCGTTTATGTGAAAGGTGCTGTTGACTAATCGATTTTCTTATAACTAACAACGTCTCTGCTAGATATATTTCATATAATAATATATTGCCTTTGCAAAATTATTATTTTTTAGCATATAATTATTGCCATTGTTCGTTCGTAGACTTGCTTTATATTTTAGCATATGTTAATTAATTTAATAAATTTAAATTTAATACAAAAAATAAATTTGTTGACTCGGCAGTCAACTTCAAAGTTCAACTAAAATGTATGAAAACAGTTTATAAATAGAGTTTAAGCTGTAGAAAATGAAAAAGTATGGCACGCTACGCTAGAAAGTTACAGATACAATCGCTTTTTTGTTAAGCGTAAATAAAAATTAAAATAAATAATTATTTTGATGACTAGTTTAAAATAGAGATATATGCATATACATATGTTAGTAAATATATACAAAATTGTTTATTATTAAATTCTAAAAAATGGCATGCAACATTATTCTGAGTGTCTTCAGAATACTGATGAGTAATGATGAGGCAAGCATCATTAGACCGCCTTAAAAAACTGGCTCCAGAGCGTAGACCCGTAAGCTATTTGAGTTATAATTTAGCGTTCCATTATTAAGTATAATATTATTAAAGGTATCATTATTAAAAGCATCATTAATAAGGGTACCATTATTAAAGGTAATAATATTAGGGATATCACTATTAATGGAAAGGTACCGTTCCATTTTTTTGGCCTTTTTGTTTTTTCGTTCTGTTTTTCATAGTGTTATAAATGAACAAAATATAAAATAGTGCAAAGTTGCATTTATAAAAAAAAATTAATTGGAAATATCCACAATAAAGTTGGGTCGTCAAAAATATACCATTTTTTGAACATGAGTACCAAACGAAAAAAAAAAAAAAGTACCAATTAAAGTACCATAAGTGGCAACCGTGGATACCATAAGTAATGGTACCAGTATTAAGTGTATCTTAATTAAAGTTACCATTATAAAAGATATTAAGATTAGATGAAACCTATAATACAATATACGCCATTTCAGGCGGTCTGTTGTATAAAGCCCAGTGTTTTTCATAAGGATTATAAAGAACGCAAGATACCTAAATCCACGTTTACTGAAAATTCGTCATAAAAGTATCCAAACATAAAACATTTTTGTCTAAAATCAAATGTATTGGAAGTATCAATTTATATGGTTACAATATTTCAGTTAAAATCCATTCAACTGTATTTTCAAAAATCAAATCAAGAATTACTATATATATGTTTATTCGACTTTCTATCTGTTTAAATTTTTATGAGTAATGAAACAAAAACAATAAAATTATTATTGATTTATTATAAGTTATTATAGTTATTTTTGTTGAGTTGAACAGGCAATTATAGCTTATCGTTAATCGATTTGAATCACTCCGACATGTGTTCTATGCCTGCTCTTTAAAATGTGGAAAATTTAATTTTTATTAACAACGATTTTTATATATTTTAATTTTAAAAAACATCTATAATTGATGTTTTTTGTGCTGCATAATAAAAAGCTGAAACCAAAAATATTTTGATAAGTCATCACCAAATTTCATATACATGAGAGTACATCCTTAAGATGTTAGCCACTTGCCATATATTATGACAAATATTTTTTTGCTTATTTGAAGGAAATTTTATATAAACCGAATGAGAATTTCATTTTGTATGTTAAATAAATTGTGCTTTTTGATAATTTATATGAAATTTGAAATAAACTGAATGAGAATCACATTTGTTAAAATGTTTTGTATAAATTGCATATAATTATATATGTGTAGAGAGAGATTACTGTTTTCCAAGGTGGGGCGCGATGGTTGACATTGGGAACATTGCAAGTATTGTTTAGGACATACTACAACAAAAATTTAGAAACACGTATAATAAAACGCGAATATAATTAATTTGTAGCATAATTCTTATATACTTAATTTAATATATCTATAAATGTCCACATTCCACTTTTCAGTTTTGAAAAACAGATTTGCAATTTTTTAAAAAAAACTTCGGTTAAATCATTTTTATTTAAATTATTTATTGTAAGTAACAATAAATAAATAAACAAATTATTATTTTTTTTATTTGTAATAGTTATTATTTATTTATAGTAAATAAATTATTATTATTTCATTTTATATATTATTTATTATATTGAAATATTGAATAATCTTCTACTTCAAATACAAATTCAATGAAATATATTTTGATTTATACTGGAGTGAGAAGAAAGTTTTGCTTGTAATTGATTATAGAGCTATAACAGTGACGAAGCTTAAATTAGTAGATAACTGTAGGTTTGAACACTAAAATAAACAATTTCAGATTCTCGTGTGAATCCAAAATCCAGTATTAGTTTATTTTGGCACAATGTTCAACTGACTGATTATGTTAACTGTCTTTATCCTATCCTCCAATCAAATGAGCGAAAAATAGAAAAATTTATATCTATAAATTTGAAAGACAATGAGTTTGTATTTAAGAAAGTATTTATATCTTATAACAACATTACTCATATACTAACACAACAGATCTAAGAAAAATATTTCGATTTATTACAGAGAGGTACCTGAGTTCCTCTGCTTCTTCTTGGAAAATTAATAAAACTTTCGGTTGGTGCCATTCTCATACGCCGTGGAAGTCTATTTGATAACGATACGTCTATTGTGTGTAAAAATGTTCAACTTTAGAGCACGATATCTCGCAAACTAAGTTATTTTGACATATAATGCAGTGAAAAAAATTATTGAGAATACTTGACTTTACTAAAACTCATTGTCTAATAGGTGGGACCAGAATATCGAGGTGTTTTTTATACATACTGTTAAGGACGTGTGCGAGTTAGGCTAAGTTGCGTTCTGAATGAGTGAAATTTTAAGTTAGGTCGATAATGTAGTGATGTGTCGATACGTATTGATAAATGGGTAAATGTGTGCAGAGCAAAAAATTCCAAAAAATCTCCCATTTGGTTTAGCATCAACTTAGACTAACTCGCACACGGCCTAAAAGAAAGAGTCTGTAGATTTGGAATTTTAGTGATATTGTGTAGGTATTAATATAAGCGCTGGACCTTTTTACACAGAGAGTTTATTCCACCTAATGTTGGACTATTTTTAACAGAATTTGGAACTTTCAAAACACTGAGTTAGGTATCTTGCTGCAATAAGCTGTTCATATAGTCGTATATTTTAATCCATATAATGATTAATATATTATGTTAATTTTTATTTATCGATCGTAGTGTATTTCAATCAGTGACTAATGATTACAAATGCAACTGCAGTTGCTATTTTATTAAATTAACTATTTATGGTCAATGGAAAAGCCAACAAACATTTCGTTGAACAGACATTTGTTTTCTTTAAACAAAATAAAAAAAAGTAAAACAAAAAAATAAAACTTTTATAATAATTTTTACAATGTACTTTTTTTTTAATTGACGTCGCATTATTTTTTTTTGTGTGACAAAACGTTGTCATCAAAACAACAACAACAACAATGTCAATACGAAATGTTGTTGTGCTTATTATCAACTTTCTTTTAATTACACTTTGACTGGATTTCTCAGATACTTTTTTCTTGAATTGTTTTTTAAAATAGTTTGTGTACTTAAATTTTCAGATAAATTTGTTGTTGTTCCGTGTGGCTTACCTAATCACACTTAGCAGTTGCGTTGTTATTAGCAAAAAGCCAAGAATTCCGTATATAAAATTTCTCCTTTCCAGCATTTTTGCAAATTTTCTGTTCACAAAAATTTATTTAATTGTAAATTAATTTTATTTTTAAATATTTGCTGCCTTGAGTAGCTCGAGTACGAATTTATTTTATTAATTTTGCCTGCATTTTAGGCATTTCATCCTCAAGGTAGGTGCTCTGCTGATTCGTCTGTCACTGTTGTGTTGTTGCTGTTGTTATTGGTGGTGCTTTAATATGCGTGTGAATACTTTTAAGTAACTCAATTGCTTTAGTAGTTGTTGTTGTTTATAAATTTATTAAATTATTTCTTTTAATTTAATTAAATATTCCACGTATTGTAAAAATATTATTTTATTACGTTTTAGCTTAAATTTTGACTTTACTAATATATTTGTTCAGTTTAGACATTTTCTTTATTTATTTTTCTCATATATTAAATTTATATTAAATCCACGCAACTAAATACAGACTAATGTATTTAGCTTATCAATTGGGTATTTAGCACAAAAACTAATATTATTTGTAATTTTTATTATTTATTTTGAATAACAACACAACAATTTATTTATTTAGTTCATTTATTTTTATAAAATTTATTTCAATGCTTGCAGTTTCTTCACCGTTCCCTTTTCAATCTGAATTTGCACTGCTTCGTTTTAGTGTTTGATATTATTTTTGTATTGTTTTTTACATTTTCTTTTAATTTTTTATTATTTAACAATATCTATAAAATGTCAAAACAGGTAAATTCTCATCTGCTGCAAAAAAGTAAAAAGTACGACGAATATTTTCGTACTGAGTACGTGAATAAGATTGCGTTACTCTTCCCTGAATAAGTTATATACGACCCACTAGGAAATATTTCACATAATGCTTATGTTGTTTTTGATTGCCAAACTTTGAGTAATTTTTAAATCCGAGATTTACTGTTAGTACAGTTTTTATTTTCGATCGCTTAATCTTACGTAAAATATATAACACTAGAAATTAATTTATAATTTATGCTTCAGATATTTTGTCAGACTATTAAAACTACACTATAGTTTACAGTTGTTGTTTTGTCAACATATGTCAAATATTGTTGGAATTACTTTCGATTGGACCACAAAATTTGAGCAGAAAACAACAGATGGAAAACAAATTCAGATTTACCAATCGAAAACAAAATTGGAATTTAATCAAATTTCTAACAAAGATATTATTATTATTTTAAGTATATTATGCAGTTTAAAATTATATGTATAATATTATATTATGTTTGAACATAGATTCGAATTTATTTTCTACTCACATAACAATTATATAAATTACTTCTTGTTTTAGGATAGTTGCATTAAGTTATTGAGCAATATAAATAATCTTATAGTTTTCTTATGGAAAACTTAGAGAAAACAAAAGAACCAATTGAAATTTGTTTTTTGACGAGAGATTTTATATCAGTTGATACAAATGTTGAACAATCCTATATGTGCAAAGTATTTGGTTATCGAACTTTTTTTTGTTCTATGTACTTTATAACTTTATGTACGTAATGCCGTTTAGTGGTTGTCTTTATAAACTTAATTTTCCAAGTTTTTAACAAATTTATTTACAATTTATTACAAATTAATTTATTTATTTTTAATTTTTTTTTATTTATTTTTATTGTTTTTTTTTTGATTATTTTTAAGTTTATTTTTATTTATTAATTTATAATTTTTTTTAATATTTACTTAAATTTCTTTCATATTTTAATATTATTTATTCTCTTTTTAATATAATTTATTTGCTATAAAGTTTCATATATTATTAATTTTATTTTTTTGTCAATTTATTCTTCTTCTTTTTAATTTTATTATTATTTTTGTTATATACAATGAGTTTAATATATTTTGTCTAACATTATGCATTAATAAGCATTTATCAGCATTTACGCTACGGGGTAACTAAATATTTACAAGTGGTGATTTATAATGTGAAACTTGTTTCCAACACTTTTTTCTAGTTTCCGCAGCGTCATCTGGTTGTCAGTTATAAGCACATTAAAATCACTCCGAAAGAGTAAAACTGTGTCATAAAAATGAGATATGTTCTTACTTTTCGATTTTTAACGGTTTTAGGGAAATTAGGGGCTCTTGAGCTTGAATCTTTAAACAGTCATTAAGTCATTAAGAATTAAGATTTTAAAGTAAGTTAGAAAAAAAGATTAAGGAGTTGCTATTTTTATATTTTCGATAAACTTGATACTAATGAAAAGATAAATATTCTTATCTTATATGTCCTGTCTTTTCACAAATTCCCTTCCTTTCTTTTTCAAATAAAGAACTTATCAAATTGTTCTTAAATTATTTATTAGAAAAAACCGTTTCAAGAAACATTTGAAAAATCCGTGTTGTTACCAAGAAAGGAGGAACAATGTCTGGGATAAAAATGTATATATTTTCATTTCACACATATTATATATACATTTTCAGTAGTTGAAATTAATACACGCCTTTAGTAGATCAAGTTTGGTATGATACACATTAAAAAATACTTAAAAATTGTTAGTTCAAAAAAAGTTTTAAAAAAGAATCGGTTGCATTAAAAACTCTTATTTATAGGGATAAAAAGTATTTAAGAAGAGTTGAGAGATTATCGAAGACATGCTTTGTTTTAGTTTTCCTTTAATCTCTTCAATAGATGGAAAAACCTAAATGCAGAAAGAATATGACCTTAACTTCTTCTTCCAATATGTTCAGTCGATTTTGAACGATATTTTAGCAGAGTAGGAGTTTTTGCATGGATATTTTAAAACAATGCCTTATGGATGGTATAGCTGAAGAAAAGACATAGGTTTACAGGTTTGATATATACACAAAACATTATTAATCGTAATAGATAATATAATGCGAACTAAAATCAACAAAATCGTATCAAAGGCACTCTTAAGTGAAGATGACGATACAGTTTGGTGCTTGAGAAATACTGTCAAGGCTGGTTAAATGGTAGACATAGTTAAATTAGAAACCTTATTTGCAAAGATGCAATAACAGTTGTGCTAGAATTTAAGGCTAAACACATAAAGACTATCATCGATTAATCACTGTATTCCGCAGATCTGCTAGCCTACAACTCAGTTTCGTTTCATAATCCAATTTGTTGCTTTGCAATAACGTTTCGTTTAGATTGGACCTATAAAGCAAATATCGTCACAACTGTTTAAGTCGTATTCAAAAGCACTAGCTTCAACCGCTTTTGTAATATATTATTATCGTAATTGCATGGAAATCCCCCACATTGTGTTGAACCCAAATAAAAAAACACTTATCAATTTTAATTAATAACAACCCAATTACACACTTGTTTGATGACTACTACTAGTTTCTGTTCATTGCTAATATTTTTATCTTTAAACATGAAACATAAAGACATTGAAAACCTTTATTGCGAAGCTAGAAATGCAACCGAAAAAACCTAACAGCTACATTATTTGGTTTATCTACAGAGTAGAGTTTGAACTTTGGACTGTGTTCCAGTTCTAATATTAATTTAAAAGAAAATTGATCCATAGAAATTTTTAATCTTGCAGTATTACTTCATTTAATATCGGTAAAAAAATGATTCATCAAAGTGAATGAATCAAAGTTTCCATGCCTTACGTTTTATTTGCATATCTTTCTGCAAATATTTATTGAAAAGTATGGGTAAACTAAACATAGAATCTCTATTTGGACAAATATTCACATTATATTATGAAGAGATTTTTAATTTCTCTCTGTCTGTGGCTTTAGATACTTCTGTAGAAAAACGACATTATAAAAGTAGGATCCACTCTACATAAATTTCTGGAAAAATTTCACACATCACAGAGTTTTGAGAGGTATAAGTTAAATTCTTTGAAAAGATCCAATACAGATTTATACATAAATATACATAAGACTTTCTAAAATTTAGTGACTTACGGTCTATTTGGAGACTTGCACTGCGAATATAACAGCTTCTCAAACTAAAGGTGTTTTATTCGAATTCTTTAATAGATACATTTATCATCAAGTTGAATAGTATGATAAATGACTGTAATTTAGGGAAGTAAAACAACACTTTAAGTGATATACATAAAACACTCAGATCTAGCTTTGCTTCCTATCAGATAAGAGACTCTCTATACACATTACACACATTAGGCCCTATGAAGCATTTCTGTTCAGTAGTCGGTTTAAGGGTCAAATTCATTACCTATATGTTGTTCGCTCTGTAACTAAACGGGTTCAGATGCTCTAATTCTTTTAACAATCTAGAGATGTTAAATTTTAGCAAGTGCCTATACTGTTCTAACTTCGCATCTTCTACTTTATTCATGCAACTAAGATAGAATCGATTAGCTTCGTGTTTTAATTGACGGAGATATTGTGTAAAGTAGTCATGTCAGCTAAGGAGCTGTGCTTATTAGAAGCCTAATTCACTATGTTACCGGTTTATTCACAACTGCATTGTCATAAATAGGCTTAAAAAGTTTGAGGTCTTTAAATTTTCAATTTCCCAAACTTGAAACAGGAAAAATTCGAAGACGTCTAACTAATACGCATACACTCTTTATATCTGCAAAAATCGTTAACCGCCTATCTGATCAACCATAATTCCTATATTAAGGTTTGGCTCCATTTGTTATCACTGTAGAATACTGTTAGCCAGATTAACTTTATCTAGTAAGAATCACGTATAGAATAATATACTCTATTGAAATTGGTATTTCTACAATACAATATCCAGAAATCTTAATAAAAATTGTATTCAAAATCGTAACGTGTTATTTATAGAAATCAGGAAGACTTGAGAACATATAGATCAGATATATGTATATATTATGAAGAGCTAGACAAATGCTATGACTATATTGAGAGTAATTAACATATCCATTGTCCTGTATTTATTGTCAACAACCTATACGACTTCAAAGGAAGCACCTTAGGTCCATAGAGTGTCATGGACACGTCAAAATTTTGCTCCTTCGGGCTATGACGAAAAGGCATGTTAGGGAGAGTGTCACATCAGTTTGGCAATTTCGTGTATTTCCTATTACTTTTGTACTTTAAGGTTGTACCTAAATTTTAAAAAAATTATATACATACATACATACAACACGGCTTTGACTAAGTGACAAGGCACATATAGCCTCGGCTCTAATGTGAGCGAATTTAAACCATCTGTTTTTTTCTCTCACTCGCAGTTTTTTAATTTACATTGACAGCAACAATAATTTTGGATTTGATGTGCCCGTGACACTCTAAATAATATGGACCTTAAATATATGTTAAATTAATTTATAGTAAAATATATAATATCTCAGTTGATGATTAATATATAAGAAATCTATAAACCATAGACTAGGAAGTTAATTAAGCCAAAAATTTGAAAAAGTTCAGTTGATTGGTAATATATTGATAAAAATTAGAAAGTCCTGAGAATGTATAGTGCAGGCTTATATGTTATGAGCTGCTAGAGAAAGGCTAATACTGCGTTGTCAATAATCTATACGATTTCAAAGTAAGCACCTTAATTAATGTTGCAAGAATTTATATTAAAACATAAAATTTCTTAAATAAAACCTTGACTGTTAATATTTAACAAATCTATAAACCGTAAACTATTAACCCATTTCGTCTTTATAATTTTATTGTACTTAATAAAAGATATCACAGTTCAGATGTACAATTTTTTTGTATTAAGCTACATTTTAAGGCTTATAGAATCTTATTTACTTAGTAACTTTTCTAGTGAAATTTATTCCTCTTCAAATATAACAAAATTATCTTCCATTCCACAACCATTT